CGGCGCCCTGCCCCGCGGCGCCGGCGGCGCCGGCGGCGCTGTCCGCCGCCGCCGCGCCCGCGCGGGGGTGCTGCACGCCGTGCAGCCCCCTGATCTGGGGCAGCTGCTCGTCCCAGCCGTGGGCCCGCAGGTGTCTGTCTATGGAGAGGGCCTGCGGCAGGTACAGCTCCGCGCGCTCGCGCATGCGGCGCATGAGGGGGGAGTCCTCGGGGGCGGTGCGGTGGAAGAGGCGGTTGCAGGTGACGATGACGGTGCGGTACACCACGGGAGCAAACACCTGGCCGTGCGGAAGGAGGGAGGAGGGAAAGGGGAGAGAGGGGGCGTGATCGTGTGCGCGCACAGGCTGGAGCAGGTCGCAGGATGCAGGGGAGTCAAGAGTTCGAGGCAGGGAGTTGGGGAAGGGCCGTCGCGTGTGGGATGGGGGCGGCAAGAGGGGCGGCCTTGCGGCCGCGGCGGGCGGCGTCGCGGGCGACAGCGAGCGCGGTCGCGCCGCGCCGCCTCGCATCGCTCGCGTGCAGCACGCCCCGCGAGAGGCCCTGTCGAGCACACGCAGCAAACAGGCGCCGAAGCACGCTGCTGCTTCCGTCGGCACGCAAAACAAATAGAGGAGCTGCGCAGGCGTGCACGCTCTCCCCTTTCCCCCACCCGCATACCCCCTCCCACCTCCCAACCTCACACACGCACACAAAAACACACACAAACACACACACACACACACACCAAACACACACAACCCCCAGATCGCGATCACCCACGCCCACCTTGAGCAAGAACGATATCACGGTGTCGTTGACGGGCACCTTCTTGCTGTCCAGGGTGGCGATGACGGTGGTGTCCACGCGCGGGGGGCCCCCGGGGTACTCTGGCGGCAGCGGCTCGAAGCGGAAGCAGGAGGGGTGCAGGCTGTAGCGCTTGCGGGCCTCGTGGCCGGGGACCAGGTCCAGGTCGGGCTGGGGGGAGGGGGGGTTAGTCATCGTTGGTGGGTGTGGGTGTGGGTGTGGGTGGGGGTGAGGGAGGGCGTGAGAGAGGGAGGGTTGGGGGTCGCAGGGTGAGGGAGGGTGTGACA